TTCTGAGACATGACGGAGCGGCAGAGAGGGCAGATAAATCACTCACCCTCTTAGCGGATGTTAAAGCCAGCAGCAGGGCTGTTTTAAGAGACAAGAATTTAAGTGAAACCTGATCCAGAGGCTCAAATGGGGCTTTGATCAGGGCTCGCAGGACCAGCGTTAAATCCCACTGTGGAACAAGTGGGTGTGAAACCGGCCTATGTCTTTGTACACCTTTTAGAAACCGCTTCATCAGCGGGTGATTAAAAACTGTTCTGTCTCCGAACCCTTCGTGGCAGGAAGAGATGGCTGCAGCGTACGTTTTAATCGTGCTGAATGCCAACTTCCTATCCATCAGCTGTTGAAGAAAAGACAACACGCCACCTAATGGACATGAGGTGGCCTCTAAACCTTTCTCTGTACACCAGCGCTGAAAGGCCGTCCACTTTGATGTGTACAGAGCCGTGGTAGATGCAGCGCGTGAATCTTGAATTGTACGCACTACCTCCTGAGGGAGACCCATCCTCTCTAAGCGGGACCGCTCAGCGGCCAGACCCACAGGTGCTGGCCTATTTCTGGGTAACTCCTGATCGCTCCTCCTGCTTGAAGGAGAGCATCCTCCCTCCACGGCAGTTTCCACGGATGACCCGAAAACAGACGTTGCAGGACTGGGAACCATGGTGCGTTCACGCGCTCAGGAGCTACCAGGAGAGCTGTCAATCCCTCCTCCTGAACTCGGTTCAGGAACCGTAAAATCAGAGGAGGTGGGGGGGAACGCGTACAGAAGCATTTTGGGCCACGGGCTGTGAGCAAATGCATCCACCCCCAGCGGTGGATCGTCTCGCGGGCTCAGGGAAAACCATAATTGACACTGAGCGTTCTCTCGCGTCGCAAACAGGTCCACAGCTGCTTTGCCAAACTTCTGCCACGTCTGAAATATCAGGTCTGGATGGAGGGTCCAGTCCGCGTGACGTGGGCCGCCCCTGGACATCACATCTGCCCCTCTGTTCAGAACACCGGGTATGTAAACCGCTCTGATGGAGAGCAGGTTTTGGTGAGCCCAACACAGTAGCTTTCGCGCAATGTGTAACATCCGGACTGAACGCACACCCCCCTGGCAGTTTATGTACGCAGCAGTCACCATGTTGTCTGTGTGAATCAACACGTGTTGATTCTGTAGCACGGGAGCAAAGTGTTGAATCACATTCAGCACTGTGCGACACTCCAAAAACATTGATGTGGGCTGATGTGTGGTGGGGCCACAGCGCCCCTACTGCTTGAGATAGGCATGTCCCCCCCCAGCCTGACAGCGACGCGTCCGTGAAGACTGACACGTGTGACGTGGGTCTGCTGACGGGAACTCCCTCTGACAGAACCAGGGTGTTCCCCAGTGTCGGAGGTCTGCTCTCACGGAGGGAGGGACAGTGATCATCCGTCTTTTGTGTTTTACTGGATCCACACGCAGACGCGCAAACCACCTCTGGAGGCGTCTCATGTGTAACAAGCCCAGCGGAACCACTGTGTGAGCTGATGACATCATTCCCAACAGCTTCATGACGGAGATGGCTGTTATCACTTTGCCAGGTCTTACGTGGCGGAGTTGACTTTTTAAGGTGTCGATTCTCGTTTGTGATAAGCGAGCCTTCATGATAATTGAATTTAATTCCACTCCCAGATAAACAATTGTCTGGGCCGGGAAAATCGAGCTTTTCTTCCAATTTATGGCGAAGCCCAGGTTTAACAGGTGTGATGCCAACACCTGAGCCTGTATCAGCGCTTCCTGTCTGGAGTGTGACAGGAGCAGCAGGTCGTCCAGGTAAAACAAAACTCTCATCCCTGCTCTGTGCAGTGGATGCAGGGCTGTCTCCACACACTTTGAGAACGTACGAGGCGCGAGGGAATACCCGAAAGGCAGCCTGTTGTACTGATACTTCATCCCCTGAAAGGCGAAACGCAGAAATTTTCTGTGTTTTGGGATGATCGGTATGTGAAAATAAGCATCTTTTAGATAGATGGAAACAAACCAGTCGTTTCTCTGGATGTTGTCCAACAGCTGTCTGTTTGTCAACATGTGAAACGGTCTGTTCATGATCGCTTTGTTGAAAGCTGACAGATCCAGAATCGGTCTCATCCCTCCGGTCCTTTTGGGGACCAGGAAGTAGCGTGAGTAAAACCCTGTGTTTTCCTCTCCGTTGGGAACTCTTGAGATTACGCCTTTTATCAGAAGCTCCTGAACTTCTGCATTTAAGGCTGAGATTTGGTCTGGTGATGACAGGACCGTCTCCATAACTCCTCCGAACGGAGGGGGTCGGGTTGCAAATTGCAGCGTGTAACCCTTGCATAACACTCTGTCCATCCATCTGTCCGGCGAGCAGGTTTTTTGCCACTCTGCGTAACGTTCGTGGAGTGGACGTGCGTTTAAGTGATGTGCCGTGTTTTGAACGGATGTCATCCAATCCTCCGCCTCGACCGCCGTCATGCGTCGCGGAAAAGTTTTCCGCGTGACCCAAGGTGAGGCTTCCTCGAAAGGGCTGTTCTGTGTGCGCCCGTGCGCTGTGTCTGGATCGCGGACCAACCTTCATGTCTGGGCGGGGCGGTGTGTGCCGAGGCGAAGCGTGTGCCAGCTGATGACGTCGTGAGGCTGCACGTTTAACGTTGCTGTGCGAACGTTGAGAGGCGGAGGGCGTGACTTCATCAACGCCGTGCTGTCGAAGTGAAGGTTGTGAGCCTCGCGGTAGCGCACGTTTTCCCAGGAGGGACGCGCGCCGCTCTCGCTGGGGGCGGGGCTCGTCGCCGGGTTCGCTCAGCTGTCTCACGCTTATGCCGCCGTGAGCTGCCGATCGCTGAGACGCGGTGGATGACGGCCGCTCGCGTTTGCTCAGGTGAGGCGTGTGTTGTTTTCGCTGAGAGCGGGGACCTCCACCGGACCCGGCCTGCGGTCCCACATTTATACCGATGTGAGCCGGTGAGCGCCGGGCAGCTGTGCGTGCATCATCAACACAGCGCCGTTTGGAAGGAGGCTGCTTGCCTCGCTCGGGTGCGCGTTTAAAACCGCTTGGGTGGTGATCGTGTGGGTTTGATTGATAACGAGTTATTTCGCTTACCGTGGTGTCGCGTGAGCGTCTCGTCATGTGTTGGAGCGGCGGTGGGTTTAAAAAGCCTTTATTTAAGGACACCGGCTCTTTATGTGTGGAGGGATGTGTGTGCAGCGGCTGTGAGCTCATCCGAGCTTACAGACTGGCTAAAAACAGGCACTTTGATCATTGAAAAAACATTTATTTCAACTCCTGTGTCATTTATATACACATCCTCCGCAGACCTTCTTTTTTAAAACTTCTCCCCCGTGAGCTCTGCGATTTGTTTGCCCCGAGCGCCGTCTGCAGGCGATCTCTGGGGAAACGCTGAAGTGCAGGTTGCTGGAAAGAGGGGGGGGTGGTCTCTGACGGGCGGGGCTGGTGGTGGAGCTGAGCGAGACGAAGCTGCTGCTGCCGTGGAGCGCCGATGTTTCTGCCTCTGCTTGCGACGATCTCTCCAGTGGGCTGGGGGACGGGATGAGCCGCGCGGCTTGATGAGATGGCGCACAGCTTCCGACATCTCCTCCGACTGCTTCGAATTCGCCAGCATGGTTTTTAAGCTGCTTCCGAGTGACGCGTCTGACGTGATGGGGGCCTCTATCAAGTCCTTGAGCAGCTTTTCCGGCAGCGAGGGAGAGTGACGAAGCCAGGTGGAACGTTGGATTACCGTCATCCACGCTGCAATCCTCGACAGGCAAACCGTGGAAGCGGCGCACATGTTGAGGATGGCGTCTGCTGATTTACACAGGGAGCTCTTTGTCTCCTCCGGCAGGTCTGCGGCCTCCAGCCTCTTCGACATGCTAAATGCTAGCAGCGCCACGTTGTTGCTAGCTGCGGCCGCCTGAAAAGCACACTGGTGGGCTCGGTTGGAGAGCGCGGTCACCGCCTGGTCGTGTTTTCCCGGAGGGACGGGACGCTGCTCCAACCTGGACGGCTTCGCTCCGAAGGCTTCCGCGAGGCTTGGCTCAAGGGGGGGTAACCAAGGAATAGCCCCGCTCGGTGAATCCCTCAACTCTGGTGATGGGTGTGGGCTGGGGGCCGACTCCCCCAATCTACCAGGAAGAACCGTCTGTGGCCTCGCCCGTCGAACGTCCTGTTGGAACACGGGGCCGTATGGATCAAGATGGTGAGCCAGAGTGGAGCCCAGTGAAACAACCTTCCCGCCGGATCATCCGAACTGGCAGGAAAAGGCGTGGGACGTAGAAAAAAAGGGGTCCCCTCATGTCAGCCTCCTCCTGGGTTCCGCCGGGCAACCGTGAGGGCGCTGTCGGCCGGGAGCGGTGTGATCGCCGATGCGAAACGAGGTGGGATGGGGTGAGCATTCACTCAGCCCCCCTCCACCTACACTACGCTCCCCAGGAGGGAATGAGCAGCGGGGGCTGCAGCTGAGCACGCCTTGTCCCGGAGGAACCATCCGGTTCGCCCCGAGGGTCGGCGATAAGAGGAAAAAATACAAGATGGCGTTGTCCAGCGTGTAGTGACCTGTCACTGGGAAATATTCCCCGGCGCTTACCTTGGAATAAGACTGCTCGTCATCTTCTCCTCGGGGAGGAGAACTCACCGGACGACCGGAGGTCGACTGCCGGGCCAAGCATCCTTAACAAAGGTTGGTCATTTACACAATTTACCTTCTTTGTTCTTCTGACAGTGCTATTTTTAGCTCGCTGAAGAAAAAATGGGAGCCGATTTCCCGCTCTTAACGTAATTTATATGGACCGGGTGGGGCCCACACAGCAGGTGGGCGTGGACTAAATTTTTTCAGTGCTTATGCTGCGCATAACGGGATAAACCCATCAGCGACAGCCTTAAAGGGCGAAGCCTATATGACATAGAACAATGAGGTTCCAGTGAGACTGTCAGCATAAACTGAACTGCCTGGTGTGTTGCTTGCCTTAAAATTAGGAGCTAATTGAGAGCCAAACCAGTTTTGTTGAAAAATGAGTGAATTTAAAGAACAGATGAGTCACAAGAGGAGCTGAGGTTTTTCTTACCTTTGGACAGAGAGTACCAGCTGGCCCCATTGGTGATCCCCTCATTGAAGAAGTCTCCACAGTTCCAGCCTTTGTGCATCCAGCCGTGCGCGTACGAGTACGTCCTCGCCAACTGCCATCGCACACAAGCAGACCCTTTCATCCACATGTTTACTCACAGCAGAGAGCCATGATATCAGACGTTTACCATCTGGGAAGAATTTTAAATCTGCTGCACACCTTCCTGAAGATCTTGTCGTCCGGAGTGGTGGCGTACATGGTCCTTCCTCGGGTGCGAGAGTCTCTCGACTTGTCAAACGGGTAGTTGGCTACGACGGCTCCTCCGTGGAGGTTGGCCGACAGGACGAAATTGTAGTTTTGCATCCATTTAATGACCGCTAAAGTCTCTGGTTCAACCTGTAAGGAAATTTAATGGAAAATAAAACTAAGTAAAAAAAAAATATATATATGCAATAAACAAAACGTTTATATAGAAATGCAAGTCAGAACAAAGTATTTAGACCCCTTGAGCTTTTCCACATTATGTCATGTTGCAACCACAAACTTTGAAGTATTTTGCTCAGATCTTACATAACAGACCAACATGAGATATCTCAATGATTTCATAATTGCTCACAGATAATCTGAAAGTGCACCATATAATATTCTGCCCCCCTTTTTATGATCCCCTTAACTCAAACCCGCCTTCAGAAGTCATATAATTCATAAATAAAGTCCACCTGTGTGTAGTTTAGTCTCAGCGGTTCTGTGAAGGCATCAGAGGTTTGTTACAGACTATTAGTGAGATCAAACAGTATAATGAAGACCAAGGAACACACCATACAGGTCAGGAATATAGTTGCTGACGTGGCATTTTTCAACAAATCTCAAGTGAATTTGTGTTTTTAAAAAAAGGTCTGAGTTTATACTTTTTTCTGTGTAAATTTTAGTTGAAGGTTGTCTGAGAGCCCTCACCACAACAGCACTGAATAAAACAGTTATTGTTGGATCATTTAACCATCTTATCGTTAGCTCATTAAATAAATAAGCCACACGGGAGAGGAGAAGATCTTCCTTATACTGCCTGTGAGCAGACTTGGAGACGAAGCGACATGTAAACATCTTGCATGCTTTTATTTCAATGCTGCTCCATCTTGCAAGATTAAATCTTGGGTTAAGAAAGATCTTAAGAAAGTTAAATCAGGTCATCCTTCTTGGTTAAAACGTTTCGTTTTTCATCCGAAAGACTTGGTCAGTCTGAGGCCGTGCCACAAACTCAGTCCTATAAATAGCACCTTCTCAAAGTGGATAAACCAGTTTGATGGAGATCTCCAGAACCAACTTTTCACATGTCAAAGGAGGACCATCAGTCTAACAATCCATCATTAATGCCCTGTTGGCCGCTTGCTATTCACAGAACCATCCGGAGATAAACCTGGCCAATTTAACCATCCATCCATTATCTTTTACCCGCTTCTTCCATTTTGGGTCACGGGGGTCACGGTGCCCATGTCCAGCAATCACTGTGCGAGGGGCGGGGTACACCCTGGATGGGTTGCAAGTCCATCACAGGGCCACATAGAGACAAACAAGACAAACAACCATTCACTCTCTCGCTCACACCTAGGGACAATTAAGAGTTACCAATCAGCCTAACATGCATGTTTTTAATCTGTGGGAGGAAACCGGAGTACCCAGAGAAAACCCACGCAAGCACGAGAAGAACATGTAAACTCCACACAGAAAGACCCCAGGTTCAATCGGGGATTGAACCCAGGACCTGCTTGCTGTGAGACAACAGTGCTAACCACTGAGCCACCATGCTGCCACAATGATATAAAGGTCATAGGTGTTTGCATAGATGCAAAGTGGAGCCTGCAGACTCATGGAGCCTTTCACCTGATAAACTCAAGGCCCTAAGCTGGTTCTGGAGGTCTCCATCAAACTGGTTTATCCACTTTGAGAAGGTGCTATTTATAGGACTGAGTTTGTGGCATGGCCTCAGACTGACCAAGTCTTTTGGATGAAAAACGAGACGTTTTAACCAAGAAGGATGACCTGATTTAACTTTTTTTATTTTTTATTTACCTGGATGATTGAGCTTACATCAGGACAAGTTGTTAAATATTCTGCACCTGTATGCCCGTCAGCGTGAAGCCTTGACACCCTGATGATGTGTAAGTAATGTATGTCTATAGGTTTCTGATAAATGAAACCTATAATTAGCATGTGGAGAAAAATAACTCCAGTGTTGACATCCAATTAAAAACAGACCCTAGGATGAAATCACAGCTGTCGTTTCTACAGAAAGCGTGCACTATGTAAAGTAAAATAAAACATTTTTCTTTAATTAAGTCATATAATTCTGCACAGCTCTTCCCAGATGGTATCTTCAATGCATGGCTAAAGCCTTAAACCTTGAAATTCCACGTTGGGATGCTGTTTATTTTCTATGCCAGCGCTAACAATCCTCATACGTTCCCAGGCTTGCATCGTGTTTGGAGACGAGGTGCCCCAGGTCTCCCTGAGAACGGCATGTCAGACAGTAAACACAGACTACCGACCTTGAACGCAGCAGCTGTAACCAAACAGCAGGACTTGAGATATCTGGGAAGCTTCAGTTACGCTGAAGTAAAACATTTCAACATGGTGAGGGGATTCATAAGAAAGAAAAAGCCTTAAGGGGTGCTTCAAATCTTTTGCAGGTTGAATAGAAAGGTTTGAAACGATTCATATTTTATCTGTTAGCTCTTCGAATGACTCAACTGAAGTAGTGTCCAAACAGGTCCAGGACAAAAGTGTATTGAAACCTTAATAAAACTCATATCTCAAATTCCAAACAGAATTGTATAAATAACTGTGTAGCAGGAAAGTGACTGATTTGTACAAGTGTTTTCAATCGTGTTTGAATTATATTTTTCAGATTAGTTATCTGAATTAAACTGAGTTTGTTAAACGTGCTATATAAAACAGGTAAGATCAGAATCGTTCATATCAGAGCCACAGATTCCCACTTCAAAAGCTCTGAACTATCATTTTAATCACAAAGAATATTTTAAATCAGTGTAAATCCACACAAGAGCACTCTCAGTGCTTCACTGACTGTTCAAAAGGAGATTTATTTCTCGAAGATGCAATTCAGTCAGTAGAAAATAGTCTGTGTAAAATTAACTGTGGAAAAGACTTAAGCTGAAACAAACAGAGATTCCTGTTTCCCATTTTTAATAAGACAAGCCTCTTTTGACTTGACTTTTGTTACAGAAACTTAAAACTGCACAATAACTTTCTAAAAACTCCATAACTGACTGAGTCCTAAGGTTCAGCCCCAAAAGGAGATAAGTGCTGTGGTGAAGAAAGAGTAAATACTTTTTCATTTCGCTCACACCTTTGAATGACATCTCATCACTTGGCTGTGTTACTAATAAATGTGACATGACTGGGCCTGGAGGCCAGCAGGAGGCCAGCAGGAGGCCAGCAGGAGGCTTGGGGCTTCAAGTTGTCCATGTTTGAGAATATAATCCATTAACTACTGTAGATAAAATGCTGGACTAAAAAAAACAGCACACATAAAAAAGAACACACTGGAAAATAACCGTGTAAAGTTCTATTATTGCAACATTTCAGGCCCACTGTTTTTCCCAAACTAGAAAATGATCATTTCTAAATTGTCATGTTTTCTGACCTGTCATGCTCTGATCTCAAGTCTTGCCTTCCATACATTCCTAGTCTGCACCTCTGCCTAATCAAGCCCATGTCATGCACCTGTGCCCCACTCTACTTAAGAGCTCTTGCCGCCCTTACTCTGCCAGATTATCGAACCCATCGTGGAAGTAGATATACAGTGTTCAAGTCACAACTCTGTGATTATCTTGTCTTGACCCCACACCTGTCTTTTGGATTATCGACCTGCCTGCTCCTTGCCTGTTACCATATTGCCCTGATCACGGATCTCCCTCTTGGATTTATTATTGGGCCTCTTGATACCAATAATACACTATACCGATAGTGTTAATGACCCTCTACTCTACATCTGACTCTCACCTCTGGATATTACTCTGGATCCCGTCTCTCTCAAACCTGCTCCTCTGCTGCAGTCCTGTCTGTGACGGTGACATCACCCTGCCCTGCTCCTTCAGGTGGCACTCCCCTCACCTGCATAAGGTTAGTGGCTGCTTTTCTGTTTACCTTCATCATCACAGAAACTGTCAGTGAGTCCACTAACCATAAAAAGCATATTCATAGAACAAAAAGACACAAATATAATGAGAACACTCTCTATATAAAATGTTATTGTTTAGTTTCTTTTTTACCTACACTACCTGGAGTTTATTTTGCAGGCAGGAGCTGAAAGCCAGAAAAAAAATTTGTGGTGTAAGTGTTGCTTTAAAGGGTCTATTTAAAAAAAAACTTGATGCCAACACAAACCTGGTCAAACAGCAAATAACATAATACATAAAAGGCATCTAAAAGCAAAAATGAAGTAAAAGTGTAACGCAATTTATAAAATTTTCTTGACGAGAAGACAGGGCGACGGAGAGCCCTCATGCCCTGAAGGGACACTCGCAGCTGGACATACAGTACTATGGATTCCTGGGGACAGTGAAAGATGGTGTCTGTACTGTCCGTTGCGGATGTTGAAGACGTGTACATACTTGGATTTATGATAAGATTTCTGCTTTTTGGAGTCGGTGGTTACCTGGTTTATTGACAAATGCCGTTCTGGCCTTGGTAAAGCTGCCTGGCTTGTTTGAAGAAATGTACCGAGCAGTACGCTCTCAGACTCAGACGCTGTATGAGCTGAGCTGTAAACTGGATGTGATTTCTGAGAATCACAGGCCACTTGTGGCTCCTGGGACTCACTAGCGGGAAAGAATCGTCTTCGGAGAAGGCTACAAGCTCAGTCCGGCGGTGTGACCACAAAATTTGGCTGTTTGGAATCGCCACTGAGTTGTACTGCAGAAATTCGAAGGCAGACATGGAAATCAAGCAGAGGCTGCCTGACCCAAAATAATGGTGTTATCTGAATTTGGCTTCCCTAGTTGGCCTTGACTTGGCCAGCTATCTCAAACGGCATCTGTGGATCTGAGTCAGAGTTGAACCGGCTGATAGACACTGCACCATCTTATCAGGACTATGGAACTTTCTAGCAGTCTACGGACCACTCGCTGCACTCGTCGGCCTCCTCATGCATACATGTATTATGACGTCATTATGTCGGCTGTTTATGTGTGAGGTCTTTTTTTTCTCCCACTCTCACTGTACTCCGGCCAGGACATAGTGCAAGATATGATTTTTTTTTTTACCTCCCCTCCCCCTCGTGTTTTCTCTTTTCCTTACTTTTGTCTGTTTGTCTGTTTAAAACAAGTCCGACTTGTAAATGAGTCTCTGAGGCTCAATGTGATTAATCTGTATAAATAAAGTTTGAATGAATGAATGACAAAAAGTATAAAAATGAATAAGGACACTTCCGGGTCTAATAGAAGATAAACTTAGTCTCATGTATTTCCATTCTACTCCTCTTTACATAAATGTCATTTATTTCTTTGTTAATCTAGTGAACGTTAAAGTGTTGTCTTTGAAACAACTGAGAATTGATCCTCAAACCCTGAGGGAATTTGTACATTTTGGCACATCAAACAATGCATTTCCCAGATCCTGTAAAAAGCATTTGAGATGTTCAACCTTAAGGATTTGAACGCAACTTGCTGACTTTGCTCAAGCTTGAAGGAGAGAAACGTGTTGAGTCGATATGTTTTCAACCTTTTTAATGGAAAATGAACCATGGAGTTCCAGAGTGACTCATATTTTTATAACACAAAGCAAAAAGCTCAGCAGCAGGTTGAAGATTTATGGATGTTCGCCCTAACAGAACCCCTTGTTTTGCATGTTCTGTTCGGAGCCTAAATGAAGACGGTAATACAAGGAAACATCATGGGTTCTGAATGTGTTACATACATTTTTCTGAGCAGGCGAAACAGACCTGGACATGTGGGGATTTTATGGAATCTGCAAGGTCAGTTCAGGAAACCTGAAGGAGTTAACAGGCAGCTCTTTGTGTCTGACGATAAAGTTGAGATACCTCCAAGGATCTGACCGTAATGCTTGAAAAGTGCTTTTTTGGCAACCTGTTAGCAAAAACTTAAGACAGCACATGCTTTTATAATTCCCTCTTCTGTACATTTTACACTACAGGGACCTAGAATAAGTACATAAGCCATTCAGTTATCCAGAAAGGAGCAGTGTCTCAACTTGAACTGAATTATTGTCAAAAAAAAAAAGCCAAGAACTCTCACAGAGTTTGACAAAAACCCAAGACTTCAGCTGTGGTTTATTGCCACTGATAAATGGGAACAGAGTAAAATCTCAGATATAAAGTTTGAAGTACAAACTTGGCAGCAATCAGCTAATTTTGAGTGAAATCACAGCTTTAGCAGCTATGTGGAGATTCTGAAAAAAAAAATGCAGTTGCAGGTTCACAGTTGCATTCTGACACTGCAGTGAGTCGGCTCAGCTTCACGTGTCAGTGACAAAAAGACAAAAATGTTCAGCCCAAGTGAAACAGACACTGTACGTCTTCATATGTAGTGTGACAGATTTTAATATGTTTGCCACTTATTGTATCCTGTACGCTTTTTATAAGACGCCAAAAAAAAGTCTGTGAAAATGCAGTGACTACTGAGCGCTGAATGACTGCTGTGCTAATAGTTGAGAAAGTAGCCGAAACTGACTTTTCAAATGTAACACAAGCAGAACAAAATATAAAAATAGCAAGACAATAGCTAAAAACTTACATGAACTAAACTGTAGACAAATGCTAAAATTAAGAAAACTGTTAAACTAAAGCCAGGCAAACAGTATTTAAAAGCTAAAACCAGCTAACTAAAAGATGAAAAATAGGAGGAAAACAACTATTGTTAAAACTAGAGAAAAGGTCGGGGGTTAATTTGCAAAAAAAAAAAGTGTGCAATGAAATATATGATGCTACTTATGAGCAAGAAGTTTTCAAACGGCTGAAATTTAGGCCTAAAAGCATTGAAACCAACACAGAAGGTGCACAAGAAACAGGAGTCATAGCATTATCTCCTGAAGAGATAATAAAGAGAAACAGAATCATAATATTGCATTTTTAATGCACACTAATTAGCAGAAAATAATACTTTTAGCTAAAAGCTAACATAAGCACAACATTAGCTATAAGTTAAAACTACAAGCTAAAATTTGCAAAACAACAGCCAAAAGAAAAAATCTGTTAAATTGCGTCTAAAATGCACACAACAGTTGCAAACAACTAAATTTAGCAAAACAGAAGCGCTAAACCTAAAATTAGCCTAAAAACAACGTATTCATTTAAAAGAAACCAAAATGCAAAATAAAGGTAAAATTTTTTTATGAGTATAAAAGTTTAAATACCAAAAATCACAGCGCCCATCTATATGAGCTGAACATTTTGGTTAAAATAGCTGAAAGTATGCTGAAGTACTTGGATGACAAAAACAGAAAAAAAACCTACAAAACAGTTTATATTTTAAACAAAGTTTTAGTTTTGGTTTTATTTTAACCACGTTAGACAGAATTACACTGAAGTTTTTACTCTCTTTTATGCAAAAACTCCAGCTTCAAGACAAGTAAACACACAAACCCTAAAGAGTTGTACACTTTCAACAACAAAGATCCCGTCAGGGACATTTTCTTCTTAGTGGTAAAATACGAGGACAATTTCTTTTTATTCAGTCTAAAGCTCAGCTGGCATGGGAAACTCATCCCAACAATTATTTTATGTCAACAAAGTCAAGGCCAAGAAAACTCAGCAATGTTACGGTTGCTCAATATTCAACACACATTCTCACAAGGACAATACACATACTCTTCCATAATCCCCAAACCTTTTCATTTTTCAATTTATTTAACCCACTTATGTTTGCACAGATATACAAACAGGGTTTTGTGGATAGGATTCCTGACCTGTAGTTCCCAGTTGTCTGGCAGAGGAAGGTGGTGGTTTCGTCCATTGGTTTTCTCATAGTAGTACATGAGGGCGTTCAGATCTGGAAAGTTCCGGTTCAGATCAATTTCTCTGGCATTCCCTCGTCCCACCAGATATCCATTCAGCTCTGGACCCTGTGGACCCACAAATACAAAGAAGAAGTGTTGAGTAATCACCATCTTTCCCAACATCATGACAGAATGATTGGGGTTTGGCTTCCAGGCTAAAGATTTGCAGGTTTCAATTTTGTTTGGAAGCAGTAACTGAGTTTCCCAACATGTAGTGGCCATCTGTAATCATTAAACAGGTTTTTGACTGTGTTTTTGTACTTTGTTGCATATAAATTTTGGTTAACTGTGTTTATTCTGATCATCTGCATCTTAAGAAGCAACATAATGAGGACAAGACTTTTTTTTTTTTTTGGAATGGTGCAGAAATTATGACTCCTTGTTAAATTTTACTTTAAATGCTAACAAAGTAAACCCACACGATGAATACAGCAAACACCAACCAGCATCTAAGAAACATAAAACATATACTTGGTCTTTTGGTGTGTCTCGTTTTTTGCAAAAGCAAGCAAATAAGTCAAACCCCAATTTAACTGTGTTCCAGTTTCAGGTGGGATGTGCTAGTTTTTGTGCTCTTCGACTAGCTAATTACTGTTAGCAATACAAGCTAATAATAAAGCAATCAATTGTGTGAATGTTTATGAAGCATTCACACAATTGTGATACATTTTTCTTCCCTACATTTTTTGATGCAATTCTCATACCACCGTTTTCAAGCCATTTCAACAAATCACACATCAAAACATTCAGCTCGTTCAGGAAATCCTGCTATGACTTTTGGTATCGGTGCAACTTTAGTTGTTTGGAATATTTAGCCTTTTCTACCATTTTTTTTCCTCATAGAAAATGAATTGAGTTCATTTTACATCCTTCAAATCCTTAGATCTGTTTACAACCTTTTACTGCTGCTTTTACATTTTGTTCTGGTTCAGCTTCTTTCAGTTTTCTTGTGCAAATTTAAACTTTTTTCAGCTACTTTCAGCTGTTTTTCTTAGCTGGTTTGTGCTCCTTTCAGATTCTTTCTGCTACATTTCTGCAACATTTTTGTGCTTCTTCTACCTTATTTCTGCTCATTTCTGCTTGTTATGCCCCTTTCAGCCTATTCATGCAAATTCCAGCTTTTTCTGTTATTTCAGCTTTGATTTAGCTGTTTTAATGCTAATTTTATCTTTTTAAACCTATTCCATATTTTTTGCAGTCATTTAAACTTTTTTCAGCATAATTCAGCAAAGCTGTGCTCTCTCCACTTACTTCTGATAATTTAAGCTTCTTTCTGTCTTTTTAGCTACTTTTCAGCCTTTTTTGTTGTTGCTGCTATGTTCAGCTTTTTTGAAGATAATTTCCACTTTTTTGTGCTAATTTCTTTTTCTTTCAGCCTAATTGGGCAAACATGTTCTTTCTGCTTTATTGTGCTAATTTAAGCTTGTTCTACATTTTCAGCTACATTTTTAGCTATTTTAAAGCTAATTTCAGCTGTTTTCATACAAATTCAAGTTTTTCATGGTAATTTCTACTACTTTCAGCCTAAGTAACTTTTCAACGCTAATTTCAGCTTATTATGATCCTTTCAGGTTTTTTCCTGCTAGTTTCAGATTTTTCTGCTATTTCAGCTACTATTTAGATGTTTTATGCTAATTTGAGCCTTTTCAGCTAATTTCACATTTTTTTAGCTCATTTAATCTCTTTCCAGTTCAGTCTGGTAGGTTAAGCTTATTTCTGACTTTTCAGCTCTTTTTTGCTATTTTCAGCTTTTTAGCTAATTTCCTAATTTTTATGCTAATTTCTGCTTATTTAAACCAAATTCAGCAAATAGTATGGTAATTTAGGATTGTTCTTATATTTCAGTTACATTTCAGCACGTTTTAAGCAAATTTCAGCTTCTTTCAGCAAGTTCTTCAAGCATTCACACTGCATTTTTGCAGGAAATGCAATCTCTCTAGTTACTGTAGCAATGTGTTCCCTGGTAGAGGTTAGACAGAATTGTGTGTGTGACTGAATTAAGAAGATACAAGCCAAATGCGAATAAATAATTTGTTACAGCAGCTTTCACCTTGTTTATGTGAACGGCAGACATATTGGCTTTGGAAGTTGGGCTGGTGGGAAACTTCCTAATTGGAAAGTGAAACTCCGGCATCAAGAATAATTTCAGTATTTCTGACTTTTGTATTCAAAAAGAAGACGTGTTAACATGCAATCACTTCCAAACTGCTGTTCAGCATTTTAAAGCTTCACAACTTGATTTGATTTCTTGTCTTTGAGAGAGTTTTTAAATTATTTTATCTCTTTGTTTTTATTACTTTCCATCTTTTGACATTTTTAGAATTATTATTTTTATTGTGATTAGTATTTCTATTGCCATTTTTACTGTGCAGCACTTTGATGTTGTCGATTGTTGCTTGAAAAGTGCTTTTTACTCTAAAAATAACATTGACAGTGGCAATAATGTGTGACCATACAGTGTCACGCTTAAGAAAAATGTACCATATTTTTCAGATTATAAATTGCACTTAAAATCCTTTAATTTTCTCACAAATCAACAGTGAGCCTTATAATCTGGTGCACCTTATGTATTAATTCTGGTTGTGCTTACTCACCTCAGACTGATTTTATGTGGTACACGGCACTCAAAAATCTGTCATAATGTTTTAGTTTTGCTTAATGCATCTTATAATCTGGTGCACCTTGTAGTCTGAAAAATACAGCAGCCAAAATTTGTTTCAAATGTTAAAAACAAATCATCACCAAGAGTTTTTAATGAGAAAAAACTAAAAAGTTGCTCAATCCAGTGATTAAACCACAATGTGGACCATAGTGCTCACTCAGTGTACTGATGTTTGCTCTGTCAAAGGTATTTAAAACCTACCGTATTTTCAGGCGTATAAGTCACACATTTTTGCATAAATTAGCATGCCTGCGACTTATACAGCGAAGCGACATATTTATGTTTTGTTCCCACATTTATAATCCAATTTTTGGCTGAGATCTGAAGATTTCATTTATTCTGACATGGACAATATTAAACACTACCATTTTCAGCCACTAGGGTAGAGGGCCTTCGACTACTATGGAAAGCCAAGTGTCTCATTAATAGGTAAAAGTGTCTATTAATTAAACACTTGGCTTGCCATACCAAGCCACCTTCGTCTCGTTCCGGAACTCCTGAAGCAAACGTCAAATCAGCTGCATTTTGCTGCGCCGCCCAGGCGAAATGCAGCTGATTTGACCGTCAAAGTGCATTTATTAAGGAAAAGTTCAACTGAGACACACCTTTACTATAAAGTGAAGAAAACAAATAATTGTTTTTAGGCAGTTATCTTGTTAAACTTCAAAGAAATGCACAGCGAGTCATCCCTCTGCGTGCTCCCGCTTCCGCGAATCAGCTTTTGAAATGCAGCTGATTTGACCGTCAAAGTGCATTTATTAAGGAAACGTTCAACTGAGACACACATTTGCTATAATTTCTAGCAAACAAATAATTGTTTTTAAGTGTTAATCTTGTTCAATTCTTGTTAAAGCCCTCCCGTGCACGCTCCCATGGCCGCAATTTGGCAGCCAATTTATTTTTGCCACAACACCGGCCCACATTTCCGGGTTGTCAGCGGTGCCGCGCAACAAACGTGACACGTCAGCAGTGACGCATAATCTATGCGACCTATATGGCAAAGCAACGTATTTGTTTGTTTTCCATTTTATTAGACATATCTAGACTGATGCAACTTATACGGCGGTGCGACATGTATGGCGGAAAATACGGTACTGGTTCAAGTGGCGTAGAACTTCCTGTTTAGCTAGCATTTATCACCTTCAACCTTTTTAGAGTTACCTTTAGTACCTTTAGAGATGTGTAAACTGGGAAAAGGGAAACCAACCTATGTAGAACTTAACGCTCACTGGAGCGAGAGAATTCTTTGTTTGGCCTTAAAAGCAAAACAATTATAAGACAGAACCAACACCATGCCATCCGAGTTTCCGGAAAACAAAACAGTCTCATGATTGTCGACCAGATGTTGCAGTGCCTAAACATCTGTTAAGCACTAAATTAGAGTACAGCGTGCACCATGAGTGATGAAGACAGGGACTTTCGTTCATCTTGCGCTACTGCTGGCCTCTGGGCATATAATTAGTCTTAAAGATGTCAGGCACATGTGTTTGTGTTAGAGTATATGTGATCTGAGGTTTCACCGTTACCTCTACGAAACAGGGTTTTTCTCAGACTGCATTATTACAGACACAAGGAAAAAATGGAATATAAATTACCCAATATTGTAGGGCTCTGCGTTTTGCCTCAAACAAACGTTAAATTGAAGTCAAAACAGATGGCTTCACATGGAGTCAAATAAACCATGAGCTGAGTGACACGCTTTGATTTAACATACGGGTATTTAGTTTCACTCAGGGACCTGAACATTTCTGTTTTGCTGACAAAAACAAGGAAAGCAATGGAATTTTTTTCCTCCATAAGTAGCAGATGGAGTGCCGAAGAAAAACAGCCAAAGATGCCCCTGAGGGAGATTTTCTCTGGTTTTCTTTTTGGCACGTGACAGCACAGAGCTTGTCAAGCGTTTACATTACCTGTCTGGCTGCCACTTCGTAGCCGTCAGGGTTCATGGAGGGCAGGATGTGGATGCGTGTGTCGTGAATAAGCCTCGTGATCCGCTGGTTTCTGGCCTGGTACTCTTCACAGAGAAACTGGGAGAACTTGATGAGGAGCTCGCGGCCGAGCACCTCGTTGCCATGCATGTTGCCCACATACTTGAACTCCGGCTCCACTGAAGGGGAGAAGTGGAAAGACAGAAGAAGCAGGAAGTTATAGCAGCCAAGCATGACGTTTAACATGTCTGACAAAACTGTAAAGAACAGTAGTGCACATCTCAGTTGTGTGTGGTTCTGTGAAAGCATTAGGATCAATATTTTATCTATTATAGATGTAGGAGTTCCTGTTTTCCTGCTTTTCTGAAGACACTAGATGGCACCAAAATTTCCACACCTGGAGATAATCTCCTTAACGAGATGCCAAGAGTATAAAAGGCAGCAGATGACCTCTCCTTATATATGTCTCCTTGACATATA